TCAAAAAGTTTGCCCACCCCTGGCTCAGGGGTTGAGTGTTGACCTATGAGCCAGGAGGTCAAGGTTCAATTCCGGTCAGGGCACATGCCCGGGTTGTGGGGTCCACCCCCAGTGTGGGGCGTGCAGGAGGCAGCTGATTAGTGATTCTCTCATCACTGATGTTTCTATCTCTCTCCCTTTCCCTTCATCTCTGAAATCAATAAAAATATATTAAAAAAACACACACACAGATTAAGTCATAAGACTTTAAAGCAGATACATGAAATAAACTGATATATTATTCCCCTTTGGTGAATTTAACAGTGAGAGCCTTTTTAAGTAACCATCTTCAAAACATAAAGGTTAATGGTGCTGCAATGGAGAAAATGGATTCTCTAGCGGGTTACCCTGTGATGCAAACGCTGACTTGCATTTTGAAAAATAAACTTCCTGTAAACAAGTTCTGTTAAGCCTTTTAAAGTAGTACTTCCTGAAAGAGTAAGACTAAGAAGCAGCAACCTAACCAGCATCCCTGCCCCTGCTAGGAGAAGAGAGATGGCGGCAACCAGGCGGTGGCAGAGTGCCAAGCAGTGCCCTTCTGCCGGCGGCGCCGACAGTGCTGCTCCCGCTGGCAGTCTGCCAGGCAGTGCGGGTGACAGACCACTGCGGGGACTTTGTGGCAGGAAGATGCATTTCCCCTGGAGCGAGGGTGTTTGCTTTAGGAGAGAGCTGTGTAATATGATAGTCCCCTTTTTGCCTTGGCTACCAAGAAACTCAGTTATAAACCTTGTATTTAAAAAGTACAGGAAGTATTACAATAGCAGCCAATATTTATTTCCATATTGAGCCCTTTATATGTGATATTTTACTGATGTGCCCAAATGCATCCATTCATGCTATTTGTACTAAATGCTTACTGTGTTCCAGGCAGCTTTCTAGGGGGTTGGGGACACCTCCGTGATCAAAACAAATCAAAGTCCCTGACGCAGAGGAACTTCCATTCTGGTGGAGACGGGGAGAGAAAATAAACAATACTAACAAGTAAGCTACACTCCGTGTTGGATGGAGGTAAGTGCTGGGGATAAAAACAAGGCAGGAAGGAGGGACGGAGCACGAGGGAGACTCAGTTTTAAATAGCACAGTCACTGCAAGGCCTTCCTGCTAAGGTGACAACTGGGAGCCAGCCATGCAGATAAGGTCAGGTACCAAGGCCCTGAGGCGGAATGTGCCAGTGTTCCTGGCCTTTTAAAGGAACAGCTGAAGGGGTGGAGGAGGAGAAACATCAGCGAAGCAATGGGAGCGGCGCGGCTGTGTGGAGGCCGCAGGGACAGAGGACAGGCAGTCCCTGCAGGGATCTGAGCGAGGATCTGGGTTGAGGTGACAGAGGATGGGAGGGGAGCAGGCCTCCGGCCAGACCAGTGAGGAGCTCATGCAGTCACAAGGGTGAGACCTGGTAGCTTCCATCAGGTGTGGGTGCTGACAAGCAGGGGCAAGGGTCAGATGCTGTGCATGTTCTGAAGGCAGAGGGGACAGAACTGGCTGTGGGTGAGAAATAAGATCCAAGAGGCATTAGGTCCGTGGAGCGGGAAGCCGGAGTTGCTTCGAGACTCTGGGAGCGGCGGGTTGGGAGCTCAGTTCTGCACAAGTTCTGCTTTGGGTGCCATCGCACAGCCAGGAGGAGCTGTCAAACAGGCAGCAGGACTGCAGCTGAGCAGAGGCCGGGTCTGAGCCCTGGGCCTCCAACCAGAGGCTGCTAGTCCGCGGTGGGGGGAGGGAGGGTGGTCCCAGCGTCTCTGAGTGACCTTGGGCTCCAGAAGCCGAGCCCCACTAGGGCACTCGGGATTATTTACTGCTTTCAAGTCTTCCTTTGAAATAGGTGAATAGACATTAAAAATGGCCTTGAGCCCAGTCGGCATGGCTCAGTGGTTGAGCGTCCGTCGACTTATAAACCAGGAGGTCAGGGTTCGATTCCTGGTCAAGGCACATGCCCTGGTTGTGGGCTCCATGTGGGGCATGCAGGAGGCAACCAATCAATGACTCACTCATCACTGATGTTTCTATCCCTTTCTCCCTCTCCTTTCCTCTTTGAAATCAATAAAAATATATTTAAAAAAAGAAAAAGGCCTTTGAGTAAGTTGTGTAACTCCAATTTGTGTTTCCTCATCTATAAAATGGGGTGATATCCCACCTGAGTGCTAATCTCAGGGTTGGTGTGAAAAATCAATCAAGTAATACTATATAAAAGTGGCAATTTCCAATAGAAACCTATTAAATATCAGCTGAGAATCTTAATAATGTACATAGATCAAGCTGATGAAATAAAGCTTTAATAAAATGCTTTTAAATAAAAAAATGCCACTTTACAAACCCTTTTAACAAAATATAGTAACAAGAATTTTATTTAAAATCCCATTATTTATATTTTCATGTGGATATAGAATAAATGGTTTTAAAAGTACTCAAGTGTTAAGTGGTGTCTCATTATTGTGTAGCGGTGGCTACTTTAACCAATGACTGCGGTGAAACGGGTGGCCATGCAGTGTGCTGTGCACTGTTCTTGGGCTTCAAAAGACAGGAAGCTTTTCTTTAAAATCTGTTTTATTGATTTTTTTTACAGAGAGGAAGGGAGAGAGATAGAGAGTTAGAAACATTGATCAGCCGCCTCCTGCACACCCCCCACTGGGGATGCGCCCGCAACCAAGGCACATGCCCCTGACCGGAATCGAACCCGGGACCCCCTAGTCTGCAGGCTGACACTCCATCCACCGAGCCAAACCGGTCAGGCAAGACAGGAAGCTTTTTAAATTTGATTTACATTTTAATAAACAATGATCCTAACTAGGGAGAGAAAATACATACATATATATAGAGAGGGGGGGGGGCGGGGGAGGGAGATATTTGTTGGAGCTAGAGAGACAGCAGAGATATATGTAGAACATGCACAAACCTGAGCTACAGAAAGCCTCTTACCTGATCTACCTACAGGCCTGGCCCACTGACACACACAACTTTTGGGTAACCGTGTCCCAGTTACAGTAAGCCTATAAACCCACTAGTCATGAGTTATTTGCAAGCATGCAAGAGGAAGTTCATGGAGGATGTTAGTAAAGCTGGCAAATTACCCGTCTTTCCTTTTGTCCAAAGCACTTACGTTCCCCAGAAGGTGCCATTTGAGACTGCCCCTGCCCACATGTGAACAAAGACAAACTGGATGGGGATGCTTTCACAGCCGTGTCTTCTGGAGGATGTGGGGCTGTCCCTCTCCTTCCTGAGGTCTGAGTGGGCCTCCCATCAGTGACCCCGTCCCTGCCTCCTGGGCCCGTCCCTAACCTGCTGCTCTGTGCCTCCGCCCTCCCCAGGGTTTAATTTGAAAAGTGGGTTCTGGGTGTTGGGCGCCAGCCTCTTCCTCTTGCTGGGCTTCTGATTCTTCACTTGGGACCTTGCCCTCAGCAGCTGGTCTTGCGTTCAGTTTTGCTCGATAAGCTTGGATGCAGCTCATCCACGTTTGGCATGGAGGCCTGTGTGCCTCGCAAGCAGGCTTTACAAACAAAAGGTGCCTAAAAATAAACCCAGTGCTTTCCAACCATTCTCCTTATCTAAACGGGGACTGTACTCTGTCCAAAGTGCTCCGCATGCGGTTATTCGGACAGAGCGCTTCCACTTTAGTGCATCTTTCTCGAACACTTCCCAGCTGACGCCTACACTGATAAACGGCAACGTCTTTCTTGGGCTCACCCTCTTCCAGAGGTTAAGTCTCAGATATCAGGTGATACTCCCATTCTATGGGTTCTTTTTTCATTTTCTTTTTAAAAAATTAAAAAATATTTTTACAGAGAGGGGAAGGGAGAAAGAGAAACATCAATGTGAGAGTGGAACATCCATTAGCAGCCAGGTCCTGCATGGCCCCCTTCCTGGGGGATCAAGCCCATCCCCTAGGCATGTGCCCCGATGGGAATGGAACTAGCAGCCTTTCGGTGCACAGGACAACGCCCAGCGAAGTGAGCAGCACTGGCAGGGCTGAACATCTCCCTACAGCACAGGCCACGGTAAAGTTCAGAGACCATCAAGAGGGCTTGATTTCTGATTCTAAGCATAGACACCAGTAAGTCAAACTCAACTTAAGAACCTTTAGCTACTTCATTAGCAAATGAGATATTTTTAATGTAGTAAAAATAATAAATTAGGCAGGAAGCCAAGGTATGAAACAAAATTTCTTTTAAAAATATATTTTTAGCCCTGACCGGTTTGGCTCAGTGGATAGAGCGTCAGGTTCTGGACTGAAAGGTCTCGGGTTGATTTTGGTTGAGGGCATGTACCTTGGTTGCAGGCTCGATCCCCAGTAGGAAGGGAGAAGGGGATAGATAGAAACATCAATGATGAGAGAGAATCATTGATTGGCTACCTCCTGTACATACCCTACTGGGTGGGGATGGAGCCCGCACCGCAACTTGGGCATGTGCCCTTGACTGGAATTGAACCTGGGACCCTTCAGTCCGCAGGCCGATGCTCTATCCACTGAGCCAAACCAACTAGGGCGAAACAAACATTTTAAAAACCATTTTACTAATTATCTATTGAAACTTTTCTATAAGTATGCAAGTATTTCCAAATAAAAAGTAAAAAATTAAAACATTTTGTTTCCAGATTACTTCCCCTTCAAATATTCAAAACCTTTCTCTTGTGAAATTTAAAAGTTTTAATTTCATTCTATCACGCCATAGCTTCCTGCTGGCCCTCAGATTTTGAGCAAGAACACTTTGATGCAACAATTTGAACATGATATTTTAGTTTGCTTTGTAGGTTTGCTTTAACTGTCTCTGGATGGTGACCGCATGCACACTGGGTGCCCAGCTGCCAAGGGAGCAAGGTCAGAGTTCAAAGGTATTGGTACAGAAACCTAATTCTTAGGTTTGGAATTAGGCTGTGCAAACAGGAGATCCATCTGATAGGCTTAATAAACATTTGGTATTGACACTGGGGGCAGGGGTGTGGCAGGAGTCCAGGCTGGGGACTGAACTTACTTCAGAACCTGTAGAAGTCCAGGCGTCACTGATGTTGGTCTCACCACTCCAGCTCCATCAATGGCCCCCAGGTGGACCTGAGGGTAATAGACTGTCCGCAGAGCTAATTTCGAAGACTGCAGTCTTGTCTTAATGACTTCGAGTGGACAAGTGAAAATAGCACCAACCGTGCCCCCGCACCTGTAAGAAAAGAATCACAACAGGATCAGAAAAGCCATGCCATTCTCTACACAAGCAAAATGTGAAATTCATATTTTCTTTATTTAAAAAAAGAGCCCGGCTGGTTGAGTCCAGATTGAGTGTTGGCCTATGAACCAGGAGGTCACAATTTGATTCCCAGTCAGGACACATGTCCAGGTTGCGGGCTCGATCCCCAGTGTAGGGTCTGCAGGAGGCAGCCAACCAATGATTCTCTCATCATTGATGTTTCTCTCTCTCTCTCCCTTCCTCTCTCTGAAATCAATAAAAATATTTTTAAAAAAAGAGACTTATGTTCATTTCATAATTAGAACATACGGGAGGTAAAAAAGTTATAGTTGAAATCACAGCAGCTAATGAGATAACCATTGTTACTATGTCAGCACATCCTTCAGGGCTTTTCCGTACTGGCTCTTCAATCCCCGGTTGTCTAGATGTTGTGAATGTCAATATATACGTACACTTACATCATCTGTAATGGCCGACTACTATTCTTCTATATTGACGTATAATATATTAACCAATTTCCTACTGTTAGACATTAATGTCATTTCCAATTTCACTACCCTGTTGCAATGAATATTCTAGAAAATGCATCTTTTCAGCCAAACAAAATAGTTCTCAGACAATGCTCCTATTTGAAAATCATTGTCTACTACAATGGACTTTTAATAAAGTCTAATTTGGACTCCAGCGAAAGTTAGGCTAAAGCTTACTTTTAACGACCAATCAATTCATCCTGTTTTCCTTAGTCACAGTCTGAGGGAACTCCTTTACAGTATTTCATACCAAAATATTACCTGCATTAAAATTTTAAGTATTTTTCTTCAAGACAACTCACGTATCCTAAAATATCTCCTTCCATCTTTTCTTAAACAATACCCATGAAACTGCGCTCTTAAGGGCTGGTGAGAATTAACAATGTCACGTACCATCGAAAGCCGCCCCGCCCCTTACCACCAACCACGCAGGTTCTACCCCTCGGAAAACATGAAAGCTCAGGGCCTGTGTCTATTCATCTTTGTTTCCCTGGCAGCAGGACTCCCAAGTTCACACACAATATTTCCTAAGCAAAGGAATTATTAAACTGAAGTTTCAAGGAGGGTGTCTTTTATGGGATCTACATGTTTGAACACAGGACTTCCCCCTGCCTGCTATCACAGGTGACTGTCCCCAGAGCACCTCGCTAGGGGACAGTAGTGCCTGGCACACTAGAAACGATGCAGCACCAGTATCTCTGAGGGGACAAGTGGTGACAGGAACAGAAGGTCTGCCCGGCTCACAGAATATTAAGTTAGGAAATCTGACTGCGAACCCAGCACCTAGCACGGCGCCTGAGTAAGGAACGGGGTAAAGCCCCATATAGTATTTTAAAATCAAGAGCCTGCAGTCCCACAGAGCGAGCTGGAAGCTAGCGGTTTAAATGCTAGCATTTCTACATGGAGTGAATGACTACCTCATGGTAAGCATACAATCCTCCAACAATCCTTCAAGGTAAGACCTCTTCAGCCTCAAATCACCCCAAGGAATCGAAATGTCAGAAAAAAAGAGAGTAAAAGATTGGGGGTGGGGCAGCCATTCTGGGCTATTTAGGCAAACCTGCTTTAAAGTCATGACGACAATACACCGTCACGATAAAACAAACCGTTTATATACACAGTGTCTTCTGAACTGCGAGCCAAAGCCCATCAACCACAAAGCAAGGCAGGGGGTCGGTCAGAACGGGCGGGAGGCCGGCAGGAAGGGCTCCATGTATGAACCGGCCAGCATTTACCCCTCAGGGGCTGGGGGCAAATACATAGAGGGGAACCTAGGTCTCAGTGAGGTCACAAAGCAGCTCAGTGTCTAGTCTGAAACCCAAATCCAGGCCCTGTGTCCATAGCCTGGTTCGTCCCCCTGCGCTCAGGTTTCCTTCTGGGAGCACTGTGGGAAGAGGGTAGTGCAGACAGCGCTGCCAGCTCACGTACGCTGTTTCACTCTTACTCAAAATGGAAAACTGTTGATCAGACAAGTAGGACTTCAAAACTCTAATGTGTCCTTTTGTATCAAGAAAAATTGTGACCCCAACTGAATGCTGCTCTGTAATAATGCCTCTAAAAAAAATAGGGTATAATGGGGAGTGTTGAAAAAAATACCTTCCTAACCATGTCTATCTACACAAAATAATTATTCTTATCTATTACTATAAACACATGCTTAAAAGGTATATTTTAAAACATTAGAACATTTACATGCTACAAAATCAGATAAAGGAATAGCTGAAACCTATTTATGCTCAATAACATGACTCCATGTCACCAAAAACAAACAAAAAAACCCCCAACATAAAACAGCTTCTGAGAAACTCTTTCATCAGAAAGCCCACAAGTCTGAATGAGGCACAGGTCAACCACCTCTGCTTTGCCCGCAGGTCAGCTGCCCTCCTCATCTGGCCAACTGTCATCCAAACCCATGCCACTGATCAAAGGATGACCTTCGGGGCGGTGTGCTTGCCCAACTAGGCAAATGTCCTACTATCAACAAGGCGGTGGGCTCTTTGAGGATGGCAAGCCACACTCACTACCAGTCACTGGCATGGGTTGCACACTATGCCCATGGCAGAGTGGTGATAGTGACAGGCCCCGCCCGTCCGGCCTTCTGGACCACTAACCAGGGGACCAAGTAAGGCGCTCTAAACAATGTTACTATCAGAAGTAAGTCCCTTCTTACCCACCAGGAAAAAACTCAGATGAAAAAATGTCCAAAGTAGTGGTATAATAATCCTCTTAGAAGAACCTGATATTCAACTGAAATGTCCAAAGAAGTCTTCCTGAAACTAAACCTTTCATAGCAAAATTCTCTATCTTTCAGCTCAACTTCTTTTTCTTTCTTCATGAGCCAACACATACAAGACAATCATTTGAACCAAAATGCTGACTTCTCCAGACTGGCTTTCCAAAATTTTCTAAAAATATTTCATCATGTTGGCTACAGAGCAGTTAAGAGTACAACAAATTACACTCTTTGTGGAAGAGTTCCTGTCATTCTCAGTTGTTTGATACAAAGAAGCCCTTCAGCGTCGCTAGCTTGGATGAAGGCCCACCCACCACTGGCAGAATTCACGAAGAGGACTCTTCAGGAGGCCCAGCTCACGAAGGGCAGAGGCAGCAGCCTCCCATCGCTGCTTCTCAGCGGTGCTCTACTGAATGCCCCTTCCTGCCTATGAATCACAGGCAGGTTCCATGACTTCCTGGTAACTTTTAGCCCCAACACTGGGAACGTCCATATGGGTTCCACCAGTAGTCCCTCCCCAATCACCTTTCAGCCTTACTTGGCCTGGCAACCCTTCAAACAGCACTAGGTCCTCATGCTCCTGGCCACTAAGCCACTGGGGCCCTAGTATCCTCCCATGCCGGCCACAAGGCGACAAGACTGGCACTGGGGAGGAAGTCACCGGAGCCCTTCTCATGCTGGTGGCCTAGGCTAATGCAGCAGCAGCCTCCCACCTGCAGGAAGCCTCTGCCATGGAGCAGGCGACCTCTCAGCCTCACCAGCCCCCTCAATGCATGGAGCCCAGACCCCTAGGGCAGGGGTGGGGACAGGGAGGGACGGTGACAGGAAAAGCCTCTCAACACCACATGCCACAGCTATAACCTTCCTGCTCTGCACACACAAGCCAGTGGAACAGCTGGGTCTCAGAGCAGGCTTCTTGGGGTCCAGCCCAGGGCCCGGAAGCCGATGCTTGGCCAATCAGCAAAGTCACATTCAGCATCCACTCACACAGTGACACAGTGTGGGCATCAGGAAACAGACTAATCCAGATGAGATACCAATACTTTAGACCTAATATCCAAAGTGGGGGACATCCTTAAGAGGCCCACAGACATACAGGAAGGAAGTAGTACAGAAATAGTTCCGTTACATTAACCATTATCATCTCTACCTTTAATTTCTATTTTGTGCATGTTTTTAATATATATATGTATATATGTGTATATATATATATATATAGTGCATGTTTCATACACACACACACACACACATATATATAAATAAAAAAGAGTAATAAAAATACATGGGGATATGCACAAACATGTTAATCATAGGGCCGCGTGATCAAAGTCTAAAAACCACTATTCTAGGCCAGTGGTTCTCAATCGGAACAATGTGCCCCCATCCTGTGACATCTGGCCATGCCTGGAGACATTTTTGGATGTTGACATTGGGGGACGGAATAAAATTAAAAAAAACAACAAACCTTACCCTTTTATGTACCCTTTGAATTTATATTAGTTCACACAAACACTCCATCCATGCTTTTGTTCCAGCCCTCTGGTCCAGTTTAAGAACCCATTGTGGCCCTTAAGTCAAAAAGTTTGCCCACCCCTGAATTCTAGTGGGTGTCAGGAGGCGGCTGAACACCCTACAATGCACAGGACAGCCCTGCCCCACCCCAAGCAAATAAGCATCTGGCTGAGGTTGGAGAGCAATAAAATGGACAAGACATTTGAAGGCAGTGTAAGTAGCGTGGAGGCCACTGCTGCTTGTCTCCCAGCATCCATGCCCTCTTCCTGTCTTAAGAAGATTGATCCCAGATGTCTTAAGCCAGACAGTCTGGATGCAACTGAACCATTTCTAGGTTTAGCCCCGACCCAATCAACGCTGCCACGTGTTCGGCAACGGGCACCCGATTCAGCCCAAGCAGCAGAGTTCCCCTGGGAGCAGTGACTGGTTTAGGGGCTGGTGCATGTCCAGGTTGGTCCAGAGTTAACTCCAGCCAGACTTGTTCAATGGTGGGGAAACATTGGGAGTTGCTGTTAGCCAGGCTGTGTTCATGTAAGGACCAACCCTGGAGTCAAGAAGGTATTTCTAGAAGGCAGAGCAGTCATTGCTGGTCCCAATGATGCTGTCGAGCTATTTAGGTAAGTCCTCACCACGCCTAGCTTTCTCTAGAATTCAATAACCAAGCCAGTAGGAACTGAAATTCTTATTTACAACTGAAA